CATGTTGAGATCACTTTATTTCGAATATCGCACTCATCCATTGACAACGGATAAGTGCCAAGCAGATTGAATGAATGAAATAGTTCAAAGATTAGCACTCCCTTAGACGAGTCTACTATCTGATGAATTGATGTTCTCTGTATGGTAAACTGTGTCTCGTGCCTATGAATATCTGCTAGCTACTGAAAACGAATAGTACTTTTGTTTTTCTGATGTGAGCAAGAGTATCCCCATAATATTTTATAAGCAAGAAAATAGATACTCTTATGTTCTTCTTTGAATTAATCGAGAATAGTATTAGAGAATGAATCTATTTTTTGTGAACATTTTACTAAAAATTTCATACTAGACATCTAAAATAATGAAAGGCAATCAATAAAAGGTCTTGTCAAAATTTGAGAAATCGTTTTCTTGCAGTATAAGAAAATAAACTACAATTAATTATTAAAGTGTTCCATCTGCCAACTGACTAAAGCAACACATACTACTTTCTAATTACAATTTTTTGGTCATATTGAATGCATTAATGTTGGCATTTTTCTCTCTCGACAATCATATAATACACTCTAGAATTAGTATTTTCAGATTTTGAATCAAAAATATAAATAGAAAAGAATAGAAAAACAGCAAGAGTTGAGATAGATTTTTGTTTATCGACGTCTACTCGATATTCTCACTTGCTATCAATCTATTCCGGTAAGAATCAAAAGTATAAATTAACTACAGCAGTTTCTAAATTTTTCTCACGATGGTTGTTAGTTATATGAACAGCAAGCTCATTTACGGAATATTTAAACGAGAGAGAGAGAAATAATTCATTTATTGTTGACTTCAATTTTGATATTAGTTTTTTCTTTTCTTTCTCTGTTGAAATTCTATTTCCATATCACTACTCTTACTGGTCTGTTAAAGTTCCCCCTACAAAATAGGCAATTTTCATCCAAAAAATGAAAACAGAGATAAATGCATGAGAAGACACCTGCACCCTCTGATCTTTCACAAATGACACGTGTTTGTTATTCGAAACGTCATTTCTCCAAAAGTTCAGATTATTTTCGTCATTTTCTACTTGAAACATTTGTTTTTTGTCCGAAAGATGTCGAAAATCTTTTTCTTTTGCTTTTTTTCTGCTTATGCCTTTTTCACCGTGAAACTCAGGATTCTTTGTATTTCACCATTCCATGTATTTAAGTTTGCTTGAAAGCGGGCATCAAGATGCAGCACATGATCGAGAACTTTTTTGTACTAAGCATTGGTGATATTATATAAAACAGTACTTTCATAATTAGAGTGTATTTTTATGAGCTACTTCAGGCATTGAATTTTTATACTGTTTCTCTTCTTAAAGAGTAAGAGAAACAAGCACTCTCGTGTTCTGCATGAACTATTTCTGACTCTTGCTTGTTCCATATCTCTCGAAAACGTCACGGTATAAGAGCAAAAGTTACTGTATAGCCTTCTCATTACAATGCCTACATATTCTGAAAATTTTATGCAACTTGAATATATCTGGTCCAAGATCGATTTTTGACAGAAGAAGGAGCTTAGTATTAGAAAGAGAACTCCACCCTCTAAAATATTAGTAATTTTAGAAATTGTTAAAATACTTCGAAAGTTTCTTATATTTGAAAAAAGTAACATCTCCTTCTTAATCATAGAGTACATGGATATGTTAATGGAATAAATAATAAATAATTTCCAAAATTTCTAATGAATTTCTCCAACTATCAATAATTTTAAGGGTAAGTTTTTGTACTCCGCATGAAAATACATTGATATTCATATAGAATCAATATATAGTAATTTATGCATTTAATGAAGTCTGATAATACTTTGACAGATAGATGCTGGAATTAGATGGACCATTGGCATGAATTCTTTTTTTCTTGTTTTTTAGTGACACATTTTTTGCAAAAATTTCTCAATAGTATTCTTTTTTCAATGTTTAGATTTTGAAAATAGTTGGAAATTTTCGTTTTTCGGAGTGCTTATTATCGAAAGTATTTGAGAGTTATTCAGTAGTATCTTAGAAATCTTCTTTTGCTATAGAATTAATCATCGAAATTTCTTAGAAATTCACTTCTCTTAACTTGATAGCTTTATTATTTCTTGTTGATATAGTTTTTCTGTAGATGTAGATTTTAAAATTTGATTATTCATGAGAGAAATATCCTTCTTTTGAAAATCCGGACATTATTACAAAAAAAATTCATCTCAGACTATATACTCAGTATCAAATCATCTTCATCAGGTGAAAAAGGAATCGAATATCTCACTACCTTGTTGTGTAAGAATATGTTGATTTTTTTGCTACTAGTAGAGATTATATTCATAGCTCATATTCATGGCAAAGATCTTTACCAAAATCGTTTCAAAATATCACCATCAAGCTCAATAGGATGAAGAAACTTTTTAAATTACTTCTACATTTAATCTAAATTATCTTCATTACTTTAATGAATGGTATAGATATTAATCATTCATCAATACATATAATACATTAGCATTTTCCTCAACATGTTTTTCTCTTTTTATCATTGAAAGTACGAGATTACATTGAAGTAACAAAATATGAAATATTAAGCACTACTTGTAGAAATGATGAACAAAATTCCTCTTTCCTATTGAATTGTACGATTACAGTTTGAAACTATTTTAGTAAAGATTTTCTTCATGAACAGTAGCTATGAATATTTTCTTTATTAACAATACAAAAATCAACTCATTCACGTGAAAGAATGTGGGAAGACATTTAATTCTATTCGAAATAATGACTTCTGTACATATATTTTATTAGAAAATTTTTTCTTGAAAAAACACTCTTTACCAAGAATAAAAGTATTACTTAATCGACTTTGTTCACGGTTAATGTGGCCTGAACATAAAATGTTTATGTGCGGTTCATCTACGACAACTATTGGCTTTTGGGTATTTACAATGATATTCGTGCGTTGCATCGGCGGTAAGAAATATATTTTCTTTCACACTCAGCGGTCATTACATCAACATTTGTATTTAGAGGTGTAAGCCGATAGGCTGATCGGCGGCGGCGCCAGTTTTTTAAAATTTTTTAAAAATGCTCGGCGGCGCAGATATGATATTCTAAGGTTGCACAGCGGCGGCGGCTCGAAAATTTTAAAATTTCGAATACCATCGGCGGCGCGGCGGCTGTAATTAAAGTGTCTCAGCGGCGGCGGCTTGAAGTTTAAAAAGTACTACATTATCATAAAAATATTAGTCTATGGCCTTGTCTACACTAGGAATATAATGTAGTATCAAATTCGTGTTACATCAATTCGTGTCTACATTTGACAGTTAATGCATCAATCAGAATCCTAGACGTCGAAATGAATCGTGGTTTTTGTTCACTTCAATCATAGAGGACTCGTCCATTGAAAATTGTGTCAGTCTCATTAGAAAATCGAATCAGACATTGATTGGTGCATCAAATTTAATGTTGTTCTGAAATGTGCAATAAATTTAATGCACTTTTTAAAAGTGTTTTAAATATTTACTAACTGTTCAACCAATCATGTTTCTTAATTCAGCGTCAAAATTTTTAGTGTAGACAAGGCCTATTTCAATATCTTGGCCTTTTTATTTTCAAACACATATGTGGAAAAACTTTATTTCACATCTAGACATAATAAAAAAGTCTAGAATTAAAATAAATATAATTGCCAGGATAAATAATAAATGAGAAATCACCGCCACGATTGTTAATAAGTAAAAGCACTTAGCATACTCAAGTTTGTTGTTTTTATTTTGTTTTTGTTAATTAAAATTTAAAATGCTCGTCTCTTCTTGTATTTCTAAATATATCTAATATAAGAGACATAAACTAAAATGATAACTTAGAATTTTCGACCAACACAGAATTAAGGGTTCATTCACAATTTAGAACCCCACGCATCTGATTGGTCAGAGAACCAGCATAAAAATGAAGGTGAAGGCGAGAAAGTTAATGAAAAAGAGATATATTGGGGTTCTAAGATGTAAAAGTATCGAATTAAGGAAAATATAAATGAAATGTTATCGATATTTACAATAGTTGCCGGCGGCGGTGGCTCGATAATTTTAAAATTTCGAATACTATCGGCGGCGCGGCGGCTGTAATTAAAGTGCCTCAGCGGCGACGGCTTAAAAATTTCTAAAATTTCTACTGTCATGGCGGCGGCGGCTTAAAATTTTTCGAGTTTATCGGCGGCGACGGCGGCTCAGCCGCACGGCTTACACCTCTATTTGTATTTGTTTGTGAGTTTCTCACACTCATTGACGCTTCAATACAAAAAATAGTTCAACCAATAGAGATTATGATAGGAGAAAGCGAAGGGACAAGAGAGAATCCGTCATCTCCATGATAATAAGGATGTCCTCTTTGTTCAGTTTTTTCTGTAACGTACTTCGTGTCAGGAAGGAAATAGTATTTTTTTTTCGTGATTTTAGAAGTATGAGAATATTCTCCAACATTGTTGCCACTAAAATACATTACGATACCAACTATATCTGTTTTGAATATCACTCTAATAGTCAAGATTAAGACCACTTTTCTTTCTCTACTGATCTTCACATGAAAGTTCTTTTATATGAAGCACATAAGTTTTTGAACACGCACTCTTCAACTTTATATCTACTCAGTAGATGCATGAAATAAAGCAATGACTTGAATAGCAAAAGAAAAAGAAGAAAATAAATAGATTAGGAATGATAAATATGAAGTTATAAAATACAAATTATTCAGAAGAAACAGAGAACTTCATTTTCTAGTACATTTATTTTCATTGAAATAGAAAAAATAAAAATATTTTTCCTCAGAGATTTAAATGAAAACAATTTTGAAAAGCATTTAAAGATGCAAATATAGAAAATCCTATAGGAAAAAAATGCATCGAAATGTTTTTCTATTATTGATTCATGCATCAGTATTCATAGGCATTGAATAGTATAATAGAAAATGTTCATGTACTTTAAAAGAAAAACTAGTCTATGTCAACATTTGTATGTTGTGTTTAGCAGTACAAAATCTATCACCTTCTGCACGTTGGGCTCAGAACGCTACCACAGTCGCAGGATTGGCAAATGGCACAGCTGGATCATCTTTATCTACTCTCTTTTTGAACGAAGGAATCAGCATTGCAGATGAGGATGCTCTCTACATCGCCGATGGTTTTAATAATCGAATTGTTTTAATTGGACTTAATTCCACTACAGCTATAGCTATCATTCAAGATGGATCTAACTCAAGTCGTCTATTTACTTATCCTACTGATGTTTTTGTCACTCAAAAATATATCTACGTCTTAGATATGCAGAATTTTCGCGTGGTAAAATTATTCAAAAATAGAACAAATCCAGTCACCATTGCCGGAATTATGCTTGTATACGGAACCGATCTAAATGCATCAACAATGGGTTATTGCCACGATATATTTGTCGACAGTAATGAGAACTTGTATGTGAGTGATTATTCAAATAATAGAGTGGTTCGTTATTCATCGAACTCATCGAGTGGTATGCCTGGTGTGATAGTCGCTGGAAATGGCACCGGTGGAACTAGTGTTTCGCAGCTATCTGGACCATGGGGAATGTTTGTCAATGAAGTAGGAACATTGTATGTTGCAGATTGTTTGAATAATCGAATCCAACAATGGAATAATGGAGCTTCCTCTGGTGTGACAGTGGCAGGCACCGGAGTTAACGGTAATAGTTTAGCTCATCTGTACTATCCGTCAGGAATTGTTGTTGACTCAAATGGATACATGTATATAGCGGATTATGGAAACAATCGAGTTCTTCGATGGGCACCAAATTCGAATTCTGGTGAATGTATTGTGGCTTGTACTGGTCATAGAGGAAATGGAATTGATACGCTGTATGGGCCGGTTGCATTGGCATTTGATAGCTATGGATCTCTTTTTATTAGCGATACAAACAATAATCGAGTACAGAAATTTCAGATACTTAGTAGTTTTGGTGAGTAGAAAATGTTTTAATAATTGCAATTCATTGTTTTTATCTTGAAATTACTTCAGATGAAACTTCAATAACAATGTCGACTTCAATAACACATCACACAACATCATTGCAAGCTTCGTCGAACTCAAGTAGGACACATTCATCTACAATTGCAATATCAATTGCTGTATTGGTAATATTCTTTTGTCAAAGTATATTTCATAATAGTTTCAATCACATATTCTATAATTTTCTAGCTTTCGTTTCTTAATGATTGGAACTTGAGCAACTTTGTCCTTCGCCTTTCTACTATACAATGACTTACAAGGTGCGCAAATGGATCGTCTCGTTAAAGTTGACAATCGTTCTTTCTTTCTATTGCTTTCATACTAAACTTGCTTGTCGCTTTTTGTACTGCTGTGCCAAAATCAAAACATGTTTTCTGTATAGCTCTATTATTGAAACAAGATTTTGTAAATCATATTCTTGTTTTATTATTATGCTTTTGTCAATAAAGTTTCATGTACGAAGTCGATGTACGTGAATTGCTATATATTTTCGAAAATAAAGCTTGGTTACATATATATGTATATACATATTTATTTATTTATTTATTTATTTACATGAAAATCAATCAGTTCCACTTTTTTCAGGTTCCGCCTGTCTTTCACAGGTCTACACGCTTTCGAGCATGCCCCTGCCTCTCATATCCTTTCTTCGACCTAATCTATCCATCTATCATTCTCGCCAATCTGTCCATAAGAGTCTGTCTATTTTGTTCTTGTCGATATGATAAATAAAATAAAACCGAATCGATTATGAATCTCTAGGGAAAGTTAAGCAAGTCGCTGTGATTAGTTGAGATTTATATAGTAAAAACTTTCTAATGTATTTTCTTGTTATGTGTGGATGAGAACATGGAAGAATAGAAATAGAACAAAAACTATTTACCGTCAGAAGATTATTCTAATTGATAATTTGTGTTACATAGAAAAGTGAAGAAACAAAAAGTCAATAATTTTGAGAAAAAAAATCTGTTTTTTGTTTAGAAACATTTTAAATGAATCTGGTAGACTACAATACTATTCGTAATATTACGATCAAGTGAGAAATGACATCCAGTAAATGCTAAATCTTCAGCAGAAAAAGACCATTGAATGTGAGCTGAACTAAATGGGGTTTAAAAAAATGACAAACAAGTAATAATAGACATGAAAACTTGTGGTGCTGACGTCTCCAGAATGGTAGTGAGTTGATTGTTTATAAGTATCGTGAATATTGACTCCGAAATAATTACTCACATTTCATGGTATTTAAATATCATCTATAAAATTTAACTCACTAAGAAACATCTCCAACTGTCAAATCGCGTTTCGATTGAGTATATGCTCAACCGATAGACCACAGTAAGTTATTAAAATTCTTATACGAGTTTGGTTTTTCACACTATCTGAGTGGAGATACACGATTATTACTAACTATTACTAGTTTTGCTGTACTACTGTACGAATCTTGACTAAACATGCTCCGATATGATTCAAATTTATATCAATACTAAGGTACTTAGTACTGATTACGATTACAGAGTTTGAAGATATGAGTTTGTTTAACATACTGATTGATTAATAAAAAGCAGCGTGTGCTCTTGCTGAAAGATGTAAATATTGATTCATCTAATATTTTCAGCAGAAATTCATTTCATAGTGAATATGCATGTGGAAATGTCAGCTTATTTGTCAGTACTTTAGTTAAGAAGAATTCGAAAAATGAATTCGCCTACTGTTCATTTTAGAACATACGATCCTGATATACTAAACTTAATTTTCGAAAGATGTTGATAGAATGCGTCATTTGCATAGAAACGTTGGTGGTCGAAATCGACAAAAAGGGATAATTGTGTACTGATGTAGTTAAAAAAATGATGATATGTAAAGTGAAACTTACAAATATTATGAGTAATTGTTCCTCATGTTCGCTCATTCGGTGCAATTATTGTGGCTGTATTATGTATTGAACATTTTTTCAACGACTATCACTTCCATTGGTTAAATGATTTCCTCCATTGTTTTTTGTTTTTGTTGATTCTGTTAAGGTTTATAAACATGCTACTGACAATGGACTGCATGATGAAAAGCACACGATCTTATTAACTAAAGTACTGACATATAGGCTGACATTTCCACATGCATGCTCTCTATGAAATGTATGTGTGCTGAAAATATCAGATGAATCAGTACTTGTATCTTTGAGCAAGAGCGCATGCTGCTTCTTAGTAGTCAATCAGTATGTTAAACAAACTCATATCTTCAATAAGAAACAATGATTTATCTTCAAACTCTGTAGTCTTAATCAGTATTGAGTGCCTTAGTATTGATATAAATTTGAGCCATATCGGAGCATGTTTAGTCAAGATTCGAATATATTAGTACAGCAGTATGGAAAACTAAATCCTTGTAGGATTTTTAATAACATACTGAGGTCTATCATTTGTGCATATATTCAATTGAAAAACAATTTGACAGTTGGGGGATGTTCCGTCGCGAGGAAAAAAAGGGGTGGTTTTTCGAAGTTCTGGCGTATGAAATTCGCCATTCGAACGAAAAAATCTACGGCTTGCATGGCTTAACAGAGCAGGCCCTGAACCATAAGCTAGATGGATGACAGTGACAAACAGAATAGAGCTTTTCACATCTGCAAGGTGAGTTTCCGAAAATCTTGTCAGAAAATCATTAGGATCATATTCCAAAGTTCTGACTTTGGCATAGATTGACGTCGCTTTATGCCTACTATCGAGTGGCGAAAATCGCACGTTTTCTAGCTGTCTGAGTTCTGAAGCTATTCAACTTTCCCCCGATCCACATTCTATTTTGAAAAGGACAGCATAAACTCGTTCATGTACTGTAATTCTCGTGATGTATAGATTTATTGTCTTGACAAGGAACACGGCAGTTAGACTGATTGCATAGTATGTATGTCAATTATGTCGAAGTTGAATAAAACTTATATGAAATAAAAAGAAAAGAAAATTCTTCTTCCTAGTTCATTTCTTTCATTGGCAAACATTAAAAACTTATTCAAGATATAAACTCTAATAATACTTGATATTTCTTTTTCTTATTATAAGAACGAATGAGAAAACATTTGTATTTAAGCATGATACGATGAAGCAGTATACAAAGATCTAAAATTTTAGTTAAAGGATCAGAGAAACAGGTATGGAACGCCAATCGTAGGAAGGCAACTTGAAGTGCGGGAAAAAGAATCGGGCAAAAAAGACAGCAAAGTTCCATTAGCATTACTATTATTATAATGATTGTTTTATTCTACTTATAGTTGATAATTCAGACACTGTTAATTTCTAATAATATGAAAGATTTCAACGTTCCTTTCCTTTCTGAAAGTACAAAGAAAGTGAAAGTATCAACCTTAGTCAACAATGATAAGAAAGACAGAATTTGATGCAAACAACCATTTATTGTTTTATATGGCATATAGTAAAAAACCAAATATGAAGATCAAATAGCAATATGTGTACTTGCTTGCTACTAAATTCTAAGATATGGATGTGTAAATTAGATTGCTTATCTGCAGGTTGGAAGGTGAGGGTAGATGTGTGGATGAAGAGAAGACTAACATTCACTCCATTCTCAAAGTTTCAACAGAACTTTTTCCGTGAAAATTATGATTTGATTTGAAATTGAGAGATTTCTTCAGTTCATTTTGATAATAACCCAACTGGTGGTTGCAGAGACAAATGATCCATATCGGCCAGTTATTAGCAACAGATCGCCATCGATAACAAAAATTATCAAAATTGATACTTCTGACCGATATTTCCACATTCAACTACAAACAGTTTATTTGCCTGATGCCTGTTAATGAGCGTCTTCGACGGAGAATATCCAACTTCACTTGACAATAGATCGCGTTTCTAAACGCAAGGAAAGTTGATAGCAGTGATATCGATCGTAGCTAAAAATCTTTCACTGTCACTCCGCAACCAGTAAAGAAGTCATCTTCACCATGATGTACTAAAAAGGCATTATCGCAGTGTGAAAATAATTTTTTCTAATGAGCGATGCTTGAACCAACAGAAAAGATCCAAAACAATAACTAATGGCGAGAGCAGTTGTGGATAGTTCGTGTTGGAATATGGAGTCTGAGTATGAATGAAAAGAAGGTCCACATCCTCACGCTCAAGATAAGTTAGTACGAAAATAATCAGCGTAACAATTTCTACATACTCTTAAAGTTTTAGTGGATTTCCAAATCGTCATTGAACCGACTTATTAGATCCACATGGACATATTCATCGAAACTCACTGAAAAATTGTGATATAAAACAATTTTGACAGGCGTTCCCTTCCAAAATCAATGTTGAAGAAAAACTAATTAGTGCCTGTTGCAGAGTACATGCTGCTCTATCGAATTGGCAAGGGCACTATTTTGGTTCATTCCAATTTTCTGATTAACTTTTTCGTACGTCTTTTCTGTCTAGTGCCTGCCTGACATAGTGAACTAGTAGACGATATGCCAGTTCATGAGAATTATTTCAAGTCCTATGAATTATAACGTAGTTCTCGACGAATAATCTGTATATGTAACTGTTCTTATAATTCGAACAGAAAAAAATTGACTTTTATCGTGTTTTCAATAAAAGTGCAATTTTTATTTATTGCAAAATAATGAAAATATATTAACAGTATTTGACTTCTGTTTTTGTTAAACTATAATCGAACTTTAAAATCTATTAATAAAATAACCGGTACAAAAAGCGCTATGAACTTTGAAAGGATTTAGACATGGCCATCAGATCGACCGGACAGATTTCATGCATGTACCTATACTTGTCTATTCTTTTTTTTACGAATTTCTTCGTGATATATGCGACGAAACGTTAATCCTTCTGTAGTTTTAAGATATGAATTTTGCTTTATTCATTATGAGCATAGTTGTTTGGTTAGCCTTCAACTAAGTCAATACAGCTCGACGAGAAAGAAAACAGAAAGAAAAAAAGAAGAAAAGCTATAAACCGTTGAGGACACAGAATGAGAAAAATAATAGTTAATTTTTTTTTCAGCATGCTCACATATCTCATACACGTTTTCTTTTACCAATACTCACGTCGAACGTCGACAACTCTCAAACGTGTAGGTTCTTCTACTATTTTATAAAATTCTTCTATTAGTCGTTTTGCATGATAAAACCACTCATGGTTTTATTTTCAATCATATAGAATTGGAACTGTGATTAGTTTTTGCCAAAGTCTACGGATCGCTTCGAAGGACTTTCACGTGAACTACATAATCGAAAAATGATTGGTTAGACATAATTAAATTATTCGTATTTTTCAATAGCATTAAGTCAATATAAGAAATAGTTACTTAATAACTTGCTTTAGGTGACCTTCGTGTACAACAAACACAGAGAGAAAATTTAAAAAAATTTCGTTAGTTCTTTCTTGTTTTGTTTTCATTCTTCTCATGTGTCAAGTAACAGACAAAACGAATTCCCAATGGCCACACTGATTCGTAGCGTGACATTAAGATTAAGGCTCAAAGCTTTTGGTTGTAAGTTAAACATGCGACGTTTTATATTGACATTATGATGAAGCTGAATTCTTGTTTTATATTCGTATAGCTCTAAGCGTAATTAGGTAGACTGTAGAAAACATGAATTCAAGGACATTAAATTATACTGATCGATTGGTACGACATTTGAATCTATCTGAAGTGGATGCTTAGTGAATCGACATAAATCATTTATACATTTATCGACATCATCTAAGCATTATGAATAATCAATTTAATGTAAGATCGATAATGCGAGGATTTTATGAAATTTCTTTTTAAATGTACAAATTGGAAAAAAGCATAGATATATTATTATTTGAAATCTCATTTAACTACATTGTTTTTTTTTATTTGATATTTTTAAATAGACAACAATTGATATTAATCAACATGTCATTACTGATCAGTATCCTCTATCAGACATCTTTACTAATCATATTGGTATCAACTCAAGTAGTACAAAGAAATATTCCTGATTTATTCGTATGCTTTTTTTTTTCTATGTGTTGATAATCGATCGAATCATTCTAATCTTTTTAAATTAGTATTATGCCAATTTCAATGGACCTATATTCGATCAACCTGTCTATAAAGTGACTGCATCGAATTTTTCGATTGTATCACCAATCAATACTACTTTATTCATATTTTCTCTCGAACCTCAAACACAAAATACAATACCAACTTATGTACCACTTAACCGAGCTCTGAATAGTGTTGCTGATATCCAAGTAACATGGACCGATACGACATTTTTTATCGAAAAATTATCGAATTTTTCTTATCGAGTTGCGACCAATATCAGGTGAACTTAGTTTCATATTCTATATGTAGAAATTTGTTTTTATTGTAGATATTTTCGTTTTCTTTTTTTCGTGTGTGTTTATTTTCTAGTCCATTGAACTATTTTTCACCCTATCATCGATATTTATTCACCATCACGGCTACACAATCGTTTACTGGTCGTCCATCAATATCATCAACAGCCATCGCACAAATCGATTTGAACTATTGTAATGCTCATGCTCCGACATTCATCTATTCGAATCAAACATATTCCATTAGTGAAACACAACGTGCAGGATTAACTTTTGGGACAGTTTTTGCAACGGATGCCGATAAAGATTCGGTTACATTTGCTCTAACACCAGCATCATCACAATTCATCATCGATCGATCCACAGGAGTACTAAGCTTAAGTCAAACTTTTCAAACGACACCGTCCTCGCCTATTTTTCTTACGGTCACCGCAACCGATGTACCATCATCATCCTGTTCATTACCGTGTCCGAGTTGTATCGCACGTAGTAATTCGACAACGATTACCATTATTGTTATCACGGCTAATAAACAACCACCAAAATTTTCAGATCAACCTTGTAATTTAAACATTTCTTTACGGGAAGATTCTCTATCGGGTACGAACATTACTACGTTAACTGCCACTGATAATGATCAAGGTAACAATGGTCGAATAAGTTTCTCGTTTCCGCCAGAACAACAACAAACAAAACTTCTTGCTGATACAAACGATATTCAATCAAGATCGACTTTCTATTCCAAATTTCAATTGTATCAATTCGATCAAATTAATGAAACTCGTACGGTTCAATTGCGAATGAATGAAACATTCGATTATGATCAACTTGGTAAGTTTCTTCAAGTTTTCATTCAATCAATCTCAAATCATATTCTAGGAGCTACACGCGTTTGGTATTTGTTCATATTGGCTAGTGATCAGGGTACACCTTCATTACAATGTAATATAATGTTTTTCTTAATGAACCACATTGATCATATTTCCTTTTCTAGCTCTTTGTACATTACGTATTAATTTGATTGAAGTCAATGAATATGCACCAGGTAGATTATCGTTACAAATTAAATGATAGCGTTTTTTTTTAAATTGATTTTAGTTTTTACTCCAACAATTTGGAATCAGACTATCTATTCAACAACAGGTTCCACAGTGATGCGTGTTATTGCTTCTGATTTCGATGCGGGTGTCAGCGGAATGATCAATTATTTTATGGTTAGTTCACCTCAACAATATTTCGTAATTGAAAGTAGTACGGGCATCATTCGATTCGCTTCGGGTGTGACAGTTTCCAATGTAAATCCTGCCTTGTTTCCTGTTCGTTTCACTGTTTTCGCTCAAGATCGTGGATCTCCATCGCGAATGAGTTCATCAAATGCTACAGTTGAAATCTATTTGGCTTCAAACAATACAATACCACCCGTTCAATGGCTCAATCCAAGCAATGGAGAACTTAATTTAAATATTAGTGAAAAATATTTCGAAACTTCTTCAACACAACTCATATCAGATAGTCAAAATGGTTTCAATGGTTCGATTTTATATCGATCGAATAGTCAACAGTCCAATTTGTTTTATGTTTCCAATTCATTTCCCACTACGACTATACCATTCCGAGCGATAACACCGACCGTAAGTAATTCCGTATTTACCAGTGGAATTTTGGTTACGAGGTCGGTTCTTTCCTTTATTTGATTAATATTCATTTTGTCGTATTCTTTTTCTTTTAGTGGCCTAGATGCTGAAACTCAGGCGATCTACCTATTGACTCTTCTTATTGCCAGTAATCCACCTCTACTCGGTTGGGCAACTATTAATTTAAGCGATGAAAATGATGAAATACCTCAATTCAGTATTCGATCATTAGAACTTAATATTCTTGCAACTCAAACTGGTACACGATTAATCGGACAATTTCTTGCTTTCGATCGTGATTTAACTTCGCCAAATAATCGTGTTCAATATCGAATTAACGATCAACTAACGGATGAGATCACTCGTAATCGATTTTTCCTTTTAGCTGATGGTACTGTTGGAACAAATGTCACTTTCGATCGACAGAATCGATCGACTTATCGGATTATTATTACAGCTTTTGACAGTGCACCAGCTTGGAGTATGACAACAAATAATACGGAAGATTTTCAATTAGATATCAACATTGTTGATAATAATGATTTACCACCAGGTAAACACTGAAATTAATATCTGATACAAAAGGAATAACACTAAGATTAAACAATGTTAGGCCATGTTGTTTAATTTATCAACATATTTGAGAAATAAAGATGTTGAAAAAACGTGTTTTTCTAATGATATTTGACTTTTCATGGTTCAGTCCTGGAAAATTTTGTTTAATATTAATGCCACTAAACATGTGCCTATCGATTGTGATCTTTTTTGTTTTAGTCTTTAATCAAACTACTGCCAATATATCGATCGATGAATCTACAACTATTGGCACAAGTATTTACAATATTACCGTTACTGATAGCAATCCATATTCCATTCTGAATTTTGGTATATTGAGTGGTAATATCAAAAATATTTTTACATTTGTAAAGATCTCCGACAATGGAAATGATGCATCACGTACAGAATATCGAGCGATCGGACAGTTGATTGTTGTTGGTCCATTGGACTATGTCGATCAACGAATATATACTCTTGTTCTATTTGCATTCGATACAAATAATTTAGCAACTATCAATGTTATTGTGAATGTATTATCAAATAATGCTAACGCTCCATATTTTCTTGTTCAATCTAATGTATATCAAATTGAAGAAAATAGACCTGTAGCAAGTTTAAACACCGATCAGGTCTCACTTACATTTTCCATTGAAACGAATTGTTTTTTTTTTTGAATTTTTGAAGATCATCGCCAATGATTCGAATCCATCGATACTTTCACTTAAGTATAGTGTTGTTTCGAATGATCAACAAATTCTTCGAACTATATTTCTGAATGAATCGAATAATCGAGCAACAATTGGCATTGCATCACCAGGTCTTATTCGTGATGCACCATTTGGTAGATCGACATATCGTTTTGCTCTTCGTGTCACTAATCAAAATGGAACTGGTGTATCGAGTTATGCACCTGTGACAATTAATATCATTGATATTAACAATAACGGACCGATTCCAATCGCATCGGTAGCTCATTTGCATTTCAATTATTTTCAAACACATTTTATTTTGTTTCATCTTAGAATTCATCATGGATTATGAATGAAGGAATTCAAAATCCAAGTATTTTTATAGTCTTTCGAGATTTTGATGATTCATCATTGAATAATACTATTCCATTTTCTGTTCGAGTACTTGAACCATCAACATTTGAAATCTCTCCAACATTAAATAATAATGATACATTCACTCTTCGATATAATGGTATACTCAGTCGAACAGAAGCAAAAAATTTAACTGTGAAAATTATGAGTCAAGATGTGAAAGGTATTTCAGTGAATACATCGATACCTATCATTGTCGGAGATATTGCTGGCAATGATCCAATTTCGGATGGCTTGAAAACGATCAATGTTCTCTATGCAGAAGGTTATGAGAATTCTTTACAAAATGTCGATCTCGGTTCAGTTTACGTTGTCAATACAGATGATTGGTTTCTGGCTAACAATATCTATTCCGTAACGAATGTTAGTAGAAATCAAATATTTCAAATCAATCAAGGTTTTCTTCGTACACCTTCACCTCTTTCCGTTGGTACATATACAATTGTGATTCAAGTTACAAAAAGTCTCACTTCGAGTCAATCCACAGCAAGCAGTTCAATCAATATGGAAGTCGCTGAGATCGATATTGAATCGATTCGAGAAGCAGCTACTATTCGTATTCAAGGTGAAACACCAGAAACTTTAGTCGATTTATCTTTTGGTAATCGGCTTGACCGATTACGTGAAGTACTCGCGTCAATTCTAACCGTTTCGATTGATTCGATTCGTCTATTGACTATAAGAAGTGTACCACAATATCGACATCCCATCTATCCTCCATTATCATTCGACGAAGCTAAACGAACAGCACTTACCGATGTGATCTTTTCGGTTTTATCTTCCACTCGAGGCGTAATTGAAAATACCGTGAATAACAATCTACCTCAATTGACTTCTCGTTCTGGCCTCACAGTCAACGCTACTGGACCAAACCCTTGTAGAAATTATGTTTGTCCCTCAGGTAGAGATGCTTGTCAACAAAGATGAAAGACATTGGAAGCTTTTCTCCATCTTCTAGGTACAATTTGTAATGCAAGCCGTTCAATTCAACCATTTCCTCTTTTAATTGATACAAATTTGACTTCATTTGTCGGCATCAATATCATTGATTCACCCGATTGTGTAAATAGTACATGGAGAGTTTCTCCACAGATGCCTCTTCCATCTGGTTGCTCAACATTTTCATTCAATGATGCTATATTTTGTCCATGTACTGATGTTCAATCGCTTGGACCTCTCGGAACCTATTGTGCAGTACTCGGTCGAACATTTCTCAATACCGGTAGTAGTTATGCTGTGTTCGATGGAACAACATTTTCGAATTTGGCACCAGCACGATTTTCCTTCGATTTTGTTGTTCCAAATATATCGACAGTCGGTCTTCTACTCTTATATGGTCGAGAAATTCCACCGATTGACGACTATTTTTGGTTGGCTATTGAATTGATCAATTCAAATCGATTAAGATTTCACTTTCGTGATCATCCATTCTTCGATACGAATCTAGTAATCAATGCATCGAAATGGTATCATGTCGAATATCAAGTGAGTCATTTTATTGCTGTACAATTTCGTACTAATTTTAGTTTCAATATTTCACGTTAGTATGTTGCTGATACTATACTGGTCATGATCAATGATGAACAGTATGATATTACGGTGAATAACAATTCGATCAATAATAATAATAATAATCAATCATTAGTTCGATTGTATCTTGGTGGTTTACCAAGAAGAGATTCACCGATAAATGCATTGTATCCAGCATTGTCTAATGTTGATTCATTTCGTGGATGTATTCGAAATGTTCGATCGAATGGTGTTTATCTCGATATGAATCGTCCTATATTTGCTTCGGATAATTCTCGAGCAGGTCTATGTGATTGTTTGAACACTGATACCTGTACCACAGGACCTCCGAAAGATGCTACAGGCGTCATTGTACCTTGGTATGTATGGCTAATCATTGCTCTAGTGCTAATCCTGTTGGGTACAATTCTTGCTATAACCTATTTGACGTGTGTCCGACGTCAAGAACAACGAAAACTACAAAGAGATGTATATTTTGATAATATTGACAATGTTAAAAATGATGATATGTAAGATACAAATGAGAAATATCGAACAAAGATTTTTGTTTCTTCTAGTTATACAGATCGTATCGGTGAAGAAGATAATATATCGTACAATTTGGGTATACTCAGGAAACCAGTTTACACAGTATCAAATGAAGAAATCTTGAATGAACATTTGAACATGAATAATCGAGGTTCGTTTTGCGCTTTTCATTTTCTATGAGCTCGAAAATTTTTATTTTTTTTATTTTTCATAGGTTACACAAATTCGACAACTAGAGAATCATTAGGTAATTTTATTGATCAAAAACTGCGTAAACAACCCATCGTTCCACGTTTGACAGATACAATGCTTTTTTATGCTTACGAAGGCACTGGTTCGTTGACTTCGGATCTGAGCTCCATAGTCTCTGACGAACATTGAATTATGTCAGAAGTTTTGTTAATAGTACTAGATAGAATGAACAGTACTCGTGCTGTTGTTTATCGATCATTGTGCACCATAGATGACCAGTAATTTAAAATAGAATCGGTTTTTTTTTCATTGAAAAAAGAAAAAAAGCAAAATCTAATAGAAATCATAACCTTTATCAATAGTTCTGTACATTTCATTTTGTTTGCAGTGTACACAATGGTCTAGAACATCATTTGGTGACAATCTTCTATTTCTAATTCAATTTTTTGAAACAATATCAAAGTACAAACATTGAATAATCGTATTATATTATCTGCTTCTGCTCCAGATCATTGATCAAGAATGAACGTGTTTTGCAACAACGACTTTATAGAGAAAACGTCATCAAATCATTCCATTTTGAAATGAATTTAGCATAGCAAAAATTCTATAGATATTAAGCTTAAACACCATTATTTTATTTTCTCTTTAGAATTTCAATCGTTTTCTTTCTCAAGAAGTTAATCTATTGATAAGAGTTGCATCCGTTCTTTATTGATACTCAGCAATACTAATCTATCTGCTTTGCTTTTTAGAATTCTTATCTCTAATAAATATAAAATAGTATACAATCATACATTCTCAAGATTTACTATGATAAAAACTCGTTCTTTCCTTTTGTGTGAAGGTCAAATAGTATTAAAATTGTAAATCATTTGTTTCTAACTCAGATATTCAAGCTGTCTCAACTTCCTCGGAATCCAGCTGAAATTAGTAATGTATGTGCTTGCGATGTTGAGCAGTTATTCACTACATCAGATTCAGATAGAGCGAATAAACGCAGAGAGAATTATTGTTGCCTTTAAGAATTTTCTTCTAGTCGCTACCATTCAAGTATTTTTCACAGTGAAGAATAATTCAACTCAAGTTTTGTTGGATTCCAGTGGACTTCAAAATGTTCTATCATAAATCGCTATGTTAGTCTTTCCGATTTCTACTGAGAATTTTTACAGACTTTTAAAATATCTATCATTCTCAAAAACATGTATATTGTGATGAGTCTTTGCGAAGTCAACATAGAAAGTATCTCTAGGACCTATTTCAAACAAACATCTAAAGCTTTTTTTATTAAACACATTATTAATGACGAACTGGATTTTTAACCGATCTTTTTAATGAGTTTTTTTTGTCGTCAATTGTCCAACTCGTAGTCCGTATATCACGAAGAACGATGCAAAGAATATATTTTTCATATCGAACATAGACTTTATATATTTTTGGTAGAGAAGTATTTGTCTTTTTATTTTTCTTACGTTTTCGAGAGAGATGATTATTGTTTCTCATACAATTTCAAGATCAACCGTCGATGTATTTGTATAGATATGCTTTAAACGTGACCCAATCTCAATAGATCTATTTGTTAACTCTTCATAAAGATTTATTTTCATCTTAGGACAATTAGAATCAATGTTAATTTATTCAAAAACCGATCGAATTCAAGTAATTAATAAACTTTTCATATGAATTAATTGATCAAAAACGAATTCTGTCATTGAGAATAGAAATATATGTTAAGACAAAAAGCATACTAATCGTTCTCTTATATAACGTTTCAGACATTATTATTTGTCTTGTTTTTGTTCAGAACGATAACATCGAAAAAAAATCTTGCGTTATCTTCTGCTTAATAGTGATACAAGAGAAAGAAGTTAAACTGATAAATATTTTTATTCAATTTAATCAAAAAATAGATCAATAATTGTTTGCTAAAATAAAATTAAAAAATAAGTTCATTGAACAGTGTATGCTTGTCGATGATGTTCATTCATGTTGATGGCTGCTGCCGGTACTAGTTGAACTACCATCTTGACCAGCCTTGTTTGAAATGCCAATATCAGTTGATTCACTATATTCAAGGCCAGATGATTCACCTATACTATTTGATTGATCAATAGTACCAGCTTCTCCTGATTCTCCTATTGATGAAGAACCTGAATGTTATACTGTATCAGAACTAGAACTTGTGTGATGACCAGCTGAAGACATTTGAGATGTTTTATTCACAATTAAATATAAATGTTTATTACTTGTTTTTTTTTATGATGAATGTCGAATTGAATCGAGGGTATGTCTTATATTGAAACGATAGCACGTGATTATTAACGTGATCACTATGATGAAATATTCTTTTCAACCGCAACAGAGAGAACAAAGTAAAAACAAAAAGGTGACCAAAAGAAGAAGAAAAACTTCATTTATTTATCTGTCAAATTTCTCTCATACTCAATTGAGTTTCTCTTTGTAAGACAGATCATTCAGTTCGATTTATTGTTATTCTAATAATAGAAAAGATAAATAAGAGCAGCTGTTCATACTTTTTCTACTTTTAATTTGTGTCTCTAGTAAAATAATCTCTATGCATAGAGTAATATTATTTTTATCATCTAGAGTCGTCATTTCTAATTATAACAGTTGCTTCGAATTTACCCAAGTATAGAGTATGAAAAATGATATAGTTAAGAAGAGATAGTCCATGAAAATGTTGAAGTTTCTTAAATATGGTCATACTTCAAAAACTGTTGGTCCTATATCTTGTATCATTGTACATAACAGAGCATCATCAAAAAACTATAAATCTAAATTTCTAGTCTTTTATAACTTGTGAAGCAAACACTAAGCAGACCTAGAGTTAACCCTTCGAAAGCAAAATTTTCTTCCATTAGTCTCCATGTTTGATCATTTCCTCCATAAACTATATGGATAGACCAATCAGAAAATCGGAATGAACCGGATTGGTGGTATATCTGATTCGATAGAGCAAAACTTGCTCTGCAACATACACTAATTAAGTTTTCGACACAATAAGTTTCGGAGATAATAGGTTTAAAAAAAAACATACAGTACTTGACAAAACTATAGAAAGAGGTATTTAGTTTGCTAATCTTATTTTCTCTTTTCGATTTCATCAAAGAAAATAGTGTAGGATTGAATCTGTCGTGCTGTTTTGATCAAAATTTCACGTTCTTACGATTGATATATGACGTGATGAAGTTCGTCCTAATGGACCTGAATGTCCGTGTGAGTATAAGTGGGGATAATGAGAACGCACACGCACTCACAAGCGTTCACTCACACCCAATTAGAAACATATGCACTATCTTTTTGTCATGTTGTCATTTCATATTTGATAATGCTTGAGGTCTTTTATTTTCAAATAATTTAACTACAGTTCCCTGTGAAAAATAGTTATACAGATCGAAATATGAAGATTGAGTACATTATATATTTGAAGAAGTATCACGCTAAGCGCCTTTTTCGATCAGCTTATTTTTGTTATCGATTAGTAGTTTTGAATTCAGCTTGATCATTAGTAAGAATCTCTCACGGTAGAACCTTTTGAAAGATTTTGCAAACGAGGCGAGACATAATAATAGATAGAACAACTATGAAGAGAATCATGACAGTCTTGGTTAATATCCTACTATTCTTTTAGAAATCGCGTTTGTGCGTGAGAATAGAAGAAGACAAGTGACTGCAGGACAGATGAGAGAATAAGACTCATTAAGATATGGATGACATTTGACTACGGAAAAATTAAGTGAAAAATGTTCAGCATAGAGATGCTGAGTATAAAGAACGATCTCTGCTTCAATGATGAGTCTATTGACTGAAAAACATTCATATGTATCAAGTTCTTTAAACAAGAAAATTCGCTTGCAAAAAGTAAAAAATCACAACTAATATTATGTGATTGATACGGTGTTCTTGCACAAATGGAACAGAATACTTGTAGTCAACAAAGTGAACACTTTTTCAATATGGTAGTGATTTGAAAATATGATACAATACGCAAAACCTTATACACATCGCTGCACGGTTCACTCACTGATTCTCAACTCACACTATGTTGTCTACCATTTTGCTAGGACTGTAATAGTTCCAGTTCTTATGAACTAAACTGGTCAACCAGATCATTTCATAGGAATTGGAACTGGTCAAACATTTCATGAGAATTGAACTGGTATGAAACTGTTACACTCCTACATTTTGCTGAATTGGAGAGGCACCAGCTAATGCATTTGAAAACCGAAGCACCAGTCTGCCTTTAAATCATGAGAATTATGGGTGTGGGTGTGGGTGGGTTGTAGGTATGGGTGTGTGTCGATGTGAGTGTGGGTGTATGGGAGTATCAGTGTATGGCTGTGGTAGGTGTGGGTGTATGAATTAAGAGAAGACTCACACCTATATCAAATCCACACCACACTCACGCCACATCCACACAAACACCATGCTCGCACCTACACATATACGTGCACACACTTTGAAGATATTTGGTACTAATTTAATGTAATTATGATAGTCTTAACTTTGATACGAACCAAGAAATGTTCTAGTTATGCTTTTATTTATTGTCTGATACATAATGATTTATTAGAGAAGAAAGAAGATTAAAAAGAAACATTTTGCGAGAATCAATAATCACTGTTCGATAAATTGCCGTGAGGGATAGTATGAGTAGGAAACGAATTACAATAGGTGTGCTGAGGATAATGTAAGTCAACTATTGAATTAAAAAAGCTAAAATAGACCCGACCAAATTTAGAACTAATGCAATAATTCCCATAATAGCACCTACACCCATTGTTGCACCACCACCATTAGTAAAGCTGATCCCTACACCAACACCAATGATACCTACAAAAAGAGTAACAATAGAATCATTCACGAATGATAACTCTCTTCAGAATTGCATAAACAAGAACTGAAAAAAGTCATTCTCTATTATGTGTGGGATACAAGTAGTCAAATATCTCACTTATCATCTGCACATCTGAATGACGTAAATAACGAACGACTCGTATAGCAAGAATTTTGGCCGCCGTTTTATATCCGCCTGGACGGCCTAATCCACCTAACACGGCACAGACAGCAGCAAGTGCCGCCTCAATACAAGCCACAGTTACAAATGTACGAGCAACGTACATTTTCGCACATGAAAAAGATACGTCGCCGCCGCAACTCATACTAACGCATTCTGATTGGCCAAAAGCACCTATACATAGTCTCCACAATCCAACCGATCCTCCAATACCTGACGCCCTAAAATAGTATCGTGAATGTTAATAGGATACATTTTATTTTTTCGAAAACTTTCTTATTTAAATGGAGAGTTAAGCTATTTAAGGTAATAGATGAGAAAGGGATGTTTTAAAGTGAAGAGTCATTTCGAAAAATTGTCGATGAATTACAAATACTATAAGCAATGTGTTATCTACTTCACTGCTTTTCATTGCAGGCACTAGAGATGAACTTACCATTTCCTTCTTATTGACAATCGATCAATGCTTCGATACGATCAGCACCATCAGATTATTTAGTCTCGACGTATAGAAATTTAGTTTTCAACTCGTTTCATATTTTAGAGAAAAGAATTTTCAAAAGGAAACAAGTCAATTATGATTTTCTCATGCATGTTAAAATAAAGATTTGCGACATATGTTCAAAACTATCAATCGCATTAACATATGCTCAGTAATTTCATTTATTTGACCTTTTTAATCTGACAGGCTTTTCCAGTTTCTATTAGTTTTCAATGTTTTAATTTGTACGGACTGCTGAAATATGAATACAAAAACATCTTAAGATAAGACATTGCTTTAAAGCTCATATTTTGGCCATTGTTTGAAAGTTATCAGACTATAATGAACTTAATTCAATTTAGTTATCTGGACCTCTAGAGTTGAGTTATGCATTTTTCAATGGGTTTTCAATCCAGGTTATGAAATAAGATGAAAAAATAAATCAACCTATTTTGACCTAAAATTTCGGTTGAAGGTAACTATCATAGCTCCTAGAGTACCCAATTTTTTTAGTTAATATGGATAAGTTATTCTTGAGATAGAGGTCTCTCAACAAAGTTAAATATTATTTATTTGTTCAGTGAAATGGTCTTTTTTTTCAAGTTCAGTATCTTAAGAATAACTCATCCCTTTTGACTGAAGTGTTTTGGGTATTCTAGCGGCTACGATAACTGTTTTTTAGTCAAATATAAGATTGAAATTCATGGATTTTCATGTCCTCATAATCCTTACTATGAATTCAAAATTCACTCAAATGCTCATAGCTCAGCTCCATAGGTGTATATATTCAAACTAATTTAGATTTATTCTAGTCTCGCGGTCTCTGATTCACGGCCAAAAGATGACCTCTAAGACAATAGCACATTTCATAAGATTTTCTCATAATTAAAAGCCAACGAACTCTATGATGTATTTCGCAATTTTCAAAAGGTCTATGTGCAATGCAAAGCCATCTCTAACTCATAGAACATCCTTCTTATTCTTCCACGGAAGTTAAAACTCATTAAAAAATTCACTTTGTACTATTTTCAAGTATCTTTGCATTGAATTTTAAGGCACGATCCCCATTTAAGAATCGATTTCGACTTCCTGTAGATCGATCGAACATAACGTTCTTTTTTGAAGATAAAAATTAGTCCAACTTAGAAACTGTCAAAGTTTCATCTAATCAAAGTTTTAAGAAAAAAAAGAAAAAAATATTTTACTATGACAAAGTCGGTATTGCCAAAACTCTATGTAGTTCCACAAAATTTAACATATTGCACTGGAGATGACGTTAAACGATAGAGAAAATATTTTTTCTACAATAGCACTTTAGTTTAATATTTCAGTTACGAAGTCGAAATTCAAAAAAAGCTAAAATACGATTGTAGAGTTTCATTTTCTCTTTCGAATGAGATTATTCCAAGATTTTTCGATGCAAAACTGTAGCACTACTTATAGTTTTGCACTCATTTTCATCCTAATAAGAAAAACGGTTCGCAAGTTCAGGAAACGCTGTTTTTTTTCCATTGAATGTAGGCATTAATACCATGGTAAATCGATCCAATCTATAACATATTCTGAAAGAACATTATTCAGGCTACAGGACTAGATGAAAACCCAAAAATTGACTTTCTAAGTGGGGCTCCTTAACGATTGACTTTATTTCACTTGATATGCATTAACACTTTTCGAATAAACGTGTATGGTATTAATGCACAAAGAATATCAAAGTTCTTTTTCTATTATTGACAACATTTTAAACAATATCTAACTCCAAGATTGTATTTTAGTCAAAGGCGATCTAGGAAAATGATTCACCAATCTGTCTATGCTATATTTTTATGATAGAAAGAAATATTACGAACCAAGATGGTAAAGCATTAGCAACGATGTAAAAATACAGGTCAAAGCGAGTACACCACCGGCAGAATACGCTCTCATTTGTGTGTTAAATGCCATTTCTTCTTCTTATTTTTTGAAATGTTCTTTCTTGTATTTGTTTTCTACTGCTTCGCTAATCGTTTGATTTCAATAAAATACTGGAATCTAGAAAAGATACTATTTTAATCACAATCCAACCACAAAAGACGTTTACTAAAAGTTAATGAATAAGGAAATGGTAATCAAAGTGAAGCACACATAAATTATCGTTCAAAAGAAACACTGGTTTCAAAAAACAAAGGCTCTTTGAATACGAGGTGCTGCTTATGTATCTGAGTCAACAACTTAAAATCATTAGTGTGCAATATCACGCGTGAAACTATTCTTGTCATGCATGTCTCTGAATTACTATGCTAAAAGTCATCTATAGTAGAACTTCTCAGCAAGTTAAAAAATCAAAATAATGCCATTGAAATGTCTAATGGGTATATTCATTTGCTTGAAAGGTTTTTGTTTTCTGCATTTCATTTATTGATCGTACTTTTGAAGATTTAAAGTATGGCGAGAGTAATCTTGAGCACACATCTTTGATAGATGACAGAAAGTGAAAGTGGTTTCTTTCACA